CTCTCTCTCTTTTTCTCTCTCCCTTTAATGCTTCCCAAATGTTTGCCAAGGTAAGCAGCCTCATCCCTCATCTGGGAGTATTACTGCTCAGATATCTGTGCTTGTCTCTGTTGTGCAACCCAGTCGCATGCCCTGCGGGGAATTAGGAGACAAATTGCTTGCAGTTTGCTTCGCTTAGATGTCAGATGTGATGGGAGAAAGGGTTTAAAGATCCCCTCCAGACAGTATGTGCTGTATTAAAGCAGGGATGTAATGTTAACCACTGCACCAACAGTTATTATTGAGAGTGTTTAAAAAACAATCGTATGCTTTCGTTAATTATTCTCTCATATATGTTTCTGTAGCTTCATGTTAATGACAACACAAATAGTGCTCACAGAAGAAGAGGAAAAAATAAGAAATTAATAAAATAGAAACCTAAACAAACAATAAAGCAGGAGTAAACAGAGAAGTTGGAAACAAACTTGATAGACAGTAATTTGGTACACACGAAGTTTTATGTTAGTTCCCGTTGGTTTACACCCTTTAAACAAAATGATTTTTCTAATGATTTTTCTGAAAACACAAATGAGACTGAAGACATATCATTATGGCTTAAATAATTTTTTTTTTTTAGACTGTCTACAAAATATTTCTTTTATTCATTAAATTCATTTTTATTTCTGAGGTTGGGTATAAACCAGCGATCTTAAACTGCCATTTCCAACCATCTATCCTGCGGCATGATATCAAAAATATAATATAATAAGATATATCTATCTATATAGAAATATTCAACCCTCAACATTTGTTTTAATGAATGTCAGAAATATCTGCTGATTTAATCACAATCAATCATCAGTATTTGCTTTTAAAACCCCCCAAATGGACTCAAGAACATTATCGTGGCTCATTAGTAAAACACTAAACAGAAATATCTAAAGGTGGCATTAGAAATTAATAATTTGAGTCCATAATAGATCATTTAATTAATTTCCAATTTTTAACACAGTATTTTTATTATTAATCTAAATTAATGTGTTAAA